AGCAGAACAAAATGACGAGGGAGCAGAACGGAATGACGAGGGAGCAGAACGGAATGTCGAGGGAGCAGAACGGAATGTCGAGGGAGCAGAACGGATTGACAAAGGTGCACAACGGAATGACGAGGGAGCAGAATGGATTGACGAGGGAGCAGAACGGAATGACGAGGGAGCAGAACGGAATGACGAGGGAGCAGAACGGATTAACAAAGGTGCACAACGGAATGACGAGGGAGCAGAATGGATTGACGAGGGAGCAGAACGGAATGACGAGGGAGCAGAACGGAATGACGAGGGAGCAGAACGGAATGTCGAGGGAGCAGAACGGATTGACAAAGGTGCACAACGGAATGACGAGGGAGCAGAATGGATTGACGAGGGAGCAGAACGGAATGACGAGGGAGCAGAGCGGAATGACGAGGGAGCAGAACGGAATGACGAGGGAGCAGAACGGAATGTCGAGGGAGCAGAACACAACGACGAGGGAGCAGAACGGAATGACGAGGGAGCAGAGCAGAATGATGAGGGAGCAGAACGGAATGAACAGGGAGCAGAACAGAATGAGGGGGGGCAGAACGGAATGACGAGGGAGCAGAACAGAATGAGGGGGGGCAGAACGGAATGACGAGGGAGCAGAGCAGAATGATGAGGGAGCAGAACGGAATGAACAGGGAGCAGAACAGAATGAGGGGGGGCAGAACGGAATGACGAGGGAGCAGAGCAGAATGATGAGGGAGCAGAACGGAATGAACAGGGAGCAGAACACAATGACGGGGAAGCAGGACGGAATGACGAGGGAGCAGAGCGGAATGACAAGAACAGAGCGGAATGACGAGCAGAACGGAATGACGAGGGAGCAGAGCGGAATGATGAGGGGGGCAGAACGGAATGATGAGGAAACAGATGGGCTTCAGCTCACAAGAAAGTCTCCAAAACAGGAGAACAAACTGGAGACAGAGTGAGGGTTAAAAGCCATGCTGGCTCACTTGGCAGCTACCAGAGATGTAAATTTATAACTGCCCCCCAAAAAAAGAATTCCAGGTTCCATATCATGGAAAACTGAATTTTCTTCACTTTTTTGGAAATAAAAGGTTTGATAATGTCTGTAAACTCTGTTAAAATTTTAAATATATAATATTATACTCATATACCCAGTTAATACGGCTCATGCACGGAAACTGAACTGTTTGAAATGATTGCTTTTGTCACGAAAAAGGAGTGTTTCAGCTTTGAATGAGGCACGACGGAGGCAGGACATGACGCGACGCACATGCAGAACGGACTTAAACTGTCCGATTGGGAACGTAGGCAGATACAGGCGTCTACACGGATACTATTCTTCTATTTAACGGATTATTTACAGGATTACCCACCTCGATCAGTCGGATAGAAACTGTATTCCGAACGGCATCAATCGGACTGGACTATTCCAATTGAAGTGTATACATAGACGTATTCTATTTCGACTGAAAAGGTGATGAAACACAGTGGCAAACAGGCCCCCGTCCCAACTTTTTTTGGAATTTTTGGCATCAAATTCAAAATAGGCAAATATTTTTCAAAAACAATAAAATTTCTCAGTTTCAACATTTGATATGTTGTCTTTGTACTATTTTCCTTTAAAATATGGTTGTAGTTCTAACACTATACACTGTATTCTAACACAGTATACTGTATTCTTATACTATACACTACATTCTAACACTATACACAGTATTATAACACAATATACTAATATACTGTGTTCTTACACCGTACACTGTATTCTAACACTATACACTGTATTTTAAAACTATACACTGTATTCTTATACTATACACTGTATTCTAACTCTTCACTGTATGCTTACACTATACACTATATATTAACACTATGCATTGTATTCTAAAATTATACACCGTATGCTAACACTATACACTATATTCTAACATCATACACTGTATTGTAACATTACACTGTACTTTACACTATATTCTAACACTATACATTGTATACATTATTCTAAAATTGCACTGTATGATAACACTATACACTATATTCTAACATTATACACTGTATGTTAACACTATATCCTAACATCATACATTGCATTCTAAAACTATACACTGTATGTTAACACTATATCCTAATATCATACATTGTATTCTAAAACTATACACTGTATGTTAACACTATACACTGTATTCTTACACAATACATTATACACTGTATTATAAAACAATATACTAATATACGGTATTCTTACACCGTACACTGTATTCTAACTCTTCACTGTATTCTTACACTATTCGCTATATAGTAACACTATGCATTGTATTGTAATATTACACTGTATTCTTACACTATTCACTATATTTTAACACTATACATTGTATACACTATTCTAAAACTACACTGTATGCCAATGCTATACACTATATTCTAACATTATACACTGTATTCTAACAATACACTGTATTATTACACTACAAACTATATTCTAACAATATACACTGTATTTTAACACTATAAACTATATTCTAACAATATGGACTATATTCTTATACTAAACATTGCATTATTTTATTATACAATATATTATAATACCGGACACTGTATTCTAACACTATACTATACTCTTACACTATACACTGTATTCTTACACTATACACCGTATTGTAACACTACACTGTACTCTTTCACTATGCACTGTATTCTAACAGTATACATTGTATTCTGACTCTATTCACTGTATTCTTACACTATACACTGTATTCTAACATATAGTATTTTAACACTGTACACTGTATTCTTAAACTATACACTATATTCTAATGCAATATATTGTATTCTAACACTATACACTGTAATCTAAAACTATACACTATATGCTAAAACTATATAGTATATTCTAACATCATGCACTGTATGCTAACACTGTACATTGTAATCTAACTCTACCGTATTCTAACACTATACACTATATTCTTGCACTATCAATTGTATTCTAACACTTTACTGTATTCTTACACTATATACTGTATTCTAACACTATACACTATATTCTTATATTATTCTAACTCTATACACTTTAATTTTTGCTCTATAAACTGTAGCCTAATATAAGTAACATGACTGTGTTACAGTTCTGGAAAAAGATTTTTAACTCACAAGCAAATTATGCTGCTTCCTCTGGTAGCTCCGCCCCTTCCGGCGTTTCTCTGCTACGCTGTCTTGGTTTATAACACACTGAGCTGCCCCACTAACGCTTGTTACAACACCTGCTATAAGCGTGTTTCATGTGTTTGTCAGCTCAGATGAAAATTTTGCAGTTATTATCTGTGGGTGAATATAAACAACATACACAGCAGACAGAGACAGAATACAGAGAGAGAGAGTGAGAGAGAGAGAGAGAGAGAGAGAGAGAGAGGGAGAGAGAGGGAGAGAAAGAGAGAGAGAGAGAGAGAGAGAGAGAGAGAGAGAGAGGGATACAGAGAGAGAGAGAGAGAGAGAGAGGGAGAGAGAGATACAGAGAGAGGGAGAGAAAGAGAGAGAGAGAGAGAGAGGGATACAGAGAGAGAGAGAGAGAGAGAGAGAGGGATACAGAGAGAGAGAGAGAGGGAGAGAGAGATACAGAGAGAGGGAGAGAGAGGGAGAGAAAGAGAGAGAGAGAGAGAGAGAGAGAGGGATACACAGAGAGAGAGAGAGAGAGAGAGAGAGAGAGAGAGGGATACAGAGAGAGAGAGATACAGAGAGAGAGGGATACAGAGAGAGAGAGAGAGAGAGGGAGAGAGAGATACAGAGAGAGGGAGAGAGAGGGAGAGAAAGAGAGAGAGAGAGAGAGAGAGAGAGAGAGAGAGAGAGAGAGAGAGAGAGAGAGAGAGAGGGATACACAGAGAGAGAGAGAGAGAACGAGTCGTGAATACCAATGCGCTCGTGTTTCCTCCTCCGTAGCGCAGTGGTGGATGATAAACTATGCGGAGGAGAATCCGCGCACGCGCACGGGCTCGCACTCACTCAGGGTTCAATCGGTAACGCACACACGCGCGCGCACACACACACGCACGCACACACACACGCACACACACACACACATGTGCACACATGCACACACACACACACATGTGCACACATGCACACACACACACACACACACACACACATGTGCACACATGCACACACACACACACATGTGCACACATGCACACACACACACACACACACACACACATATATATTCACTCACTCGCGCGCTTTAAGCAAACCGAACCAACAGATGGCTAAATCACCATGACAACTCGGAGGCGCGCGGGGTTTCGTCTCTCTGTATCTCTTCGTCTCGCGCACACGATAATAAAGCGCGAGTTTAACGGCGCCGCGCGTGCGCGTTTATGCACAACAGGTGAGCGGCTCACGCGCTCTCGCTTTCTCGCGCGCGCCTCGTGTGTGTGGGATGTAGAGCTCGTGAGTCCTGTCGAATGTCCTGGGTCTCGCGGCCTGTCACCCCAACAACCGAACTCTAATAGATAAAGAGGCAGAAGGAAATAAAGGGGGGCTCGCGAGACCCCCCCCCTCCCCCCATCATCTATCTCTCCCCTTCTTTTCTCCTCTCTCTTCCTGTCTCTCTCTTCATCTCTCTCTCTCTCTTCATCTCTCTCTCCCTCATTTCTCTCTCTCCCTCACATCTCTTCATTTCTCTCTCTCCCTCACCTCTCTTCATCTGTCTCTCTCCCTTTCTTCCTCCTCTTCCTCTATTATATCTCGAGCTCTTTTTCTCATCTCATCCCATCTCTCTCTCTCTCTCTCTCTCTCTCTCTCTCTCTCTCTCTTCTCATTTTAATCTCTTTCTCTCTCTCTCTCTCTCTTCTCTCTCTCTCTCTCTCTCTCTCTCTGTAGAATAATGGCTGTAGAAGCTGTAGATTCAGACTCGACTCCAGCAGCTCTTTATTACAGACCCCGCTAATAAACCCGCGCGCTCGCGCAGATCGAGCTAAATAGGAAAAAAGACCGTAATTTGCTCTCACCTGCCGAAGCCCACATCCGGTGTCTCGCGCCTTCACTCCGCCTCTGCGTGTCCTGAATCTTTAATCTCATCCTGACGCTGATCAACACCAGCCGCCTCGCGCCGCCTCACATCCCCTGCTCGAGCTGCTGCTGTGATTATTGTCATTAATATTATTAATATTTTGTTCCGTTTTCTCTTTTCCTATTTAAGCTCCTGCGTCCCGCTTGGCTCTATTTTGTCGAGCGCGGGAGCGCGCAGCGCGGTCGCGGACGCAAGGTCAGGAGCGCCCACCGCCTCGCGCGCGCGCGTTACCAGGCAACCGGGAGCACACGGAGCTCACAAGCACGCGCCGAATAAAGAGCGAGGGGGGGTGCAGGGGGGTACGAGATGTGTACAGAGACAGCGCGGGAAACACACCCTGCGCGCGCCCTTCTCAGATAAAAGTATATATTAAACAGAAAAAAATCTAAAGAAGCGCCGTTCATTCCCGCTTTTTTCCCCCCACCCGTTTTCTGACAAACCCCGCCTCCTGCACTGGGATTGGCTAGCAGTTCAAACGGCGGGATGCTTGTGGGTAATAATGGTGGCCAATTACAGCACAGGAGGCGGGTCTCACTGGGAACGGTTTCGTGTGCTAGGATTGGCTGCTCCTGCTTCTAGCCAATCATAGCAGAGGAGGGGGCGCTACAGCCAATCATAGCAGAGGAGGGGGCGCTACAGCCAATCGTAGCAGAGGAAGAGGTGCTACAGCCAATCATGGCAGAGGAGGGGGCCCTACAGCCAATCATAGCAGAGGAGGGGGCATCATAGCAGAGGAGGGGGCGCTACAGCTAATCATAGCAGAGGAGGGGGCGCTACAGCCAATCATAGCAGAGGAGGGGGCGCTACAGCCAATCATAGCAGAGGAGGGGGCATCATAGCAGAGGAGGGGGCGCTACAGCTAATCATAGCAAAGGAGGGGGCGCTACAGCCAATCATAGCAGAGGAGGGGGCGCTACAGCCAATCATAGCAGAGGAAGAGGCGCTACAGCCAATCATAGCAGAGGAAGAGGCGCTACAGCCAATCATAGCAGAGGAGGGGCGCTACAGCCAATCATAGCAGAGGAGGGGGCGCTACAGCCAATCATAGCAGAGGAAGAGGCGCGACAGCCAATCATAGCAGAGGAGGGGGCGCTACAGCCAATCATAGCAGAGGAGGGGCGCTACAGCCAATCATAGCAGAGGAGGGGGCGCTAGACGACTTCCAGTGCTTGTTAGCAATGTTAGCCTCATAGCCTAAAGATGTCTACAAAACAAATATAGACATTTTATTTACTATCCAGAACCACCAGTGAACCTACACGAGTCTTCTGAGTTTATATGGAATGTTGATGATGGAAAATAGTGGAAAATCTGAAATAATAAGTTTTCTTTGGGGACTATTTTGCCTCACAGCGCCCTGCATGTATCCCTCCACCATGAATGGAGTTTAAGTTCTCTAAACTATCATAAAACAGTGTCTCAGTCATCAGGCAGTGAATTCATAACCATTTCATGTAGGAACTTTCTGTGAGGGAGCTTTTAGAGGTGGACGTCTGGTTCCTATCACCACCACTGTGAACAGTTCTGACTCGGTACATTTATCTAGAACAGAGCGTTTCACACCAAACCACTCTGAACCGCTCTGAACGGCTCTGTTTACATCTTAAACATTTAACAATGCAAAAAACTTTGACATTTTAAGAAAAGCATGTTATAAATAAAGCTTTCTTGCTTTAATCGAACCTTTCAGCAGAACAAAACACTCCAGAGACGCGAGTCGGTTTTCAGTCCTATCTTTATTAACAAAACATAATAAAACTACTAAGTTACAGGCATTCATGCAGGAGATCAGCTGCTTTTCTCTTCTTACACAGGCCAGAAGAGAACCAAATAGAGCTGAGGAGAACCAAAGAGAGGTGAGGAGACCCAAAGAGAGGTGAGGAGAAGGAGGGATGATCATCTGCTGCTAATGTTTACCTCACATGCAGTTTTACTAATCAGAAACAAACATATAACTCTTATAAAATTACTAAACAAATATATTTGAACAGATTAATTTCCCAGTGATTATAAAACTAGAGTTCCATTTTCTCGGTTCTCTCTGTTCTTTAACAGACACAGCATTTCTTTTTTCAACTACACTCTTAAAAAACATGGTTTGTCCAGGGTTCTTTGGTAAAGACGATTGTTCTATATAGAACCATAAACATTGAAAGAACCATTTAAGCGTTATGATTCTATATAGAACCATTTCCTTTATTAAAGAACCTTTGAAGAACCATCTTTTTAAAGAGTGTATAAAATCTGTGATTTGAACTCTTTTACCTCTTTTTCAGTTGTGTTGTCATGTTTTTTATTATCTAAAGGACAAAAGCAGAGAGAAAAGCTGAAATGTTTTTTAGTCCTTGGACATAAATCGCTCTAGAGTGGACCTCTATAATAAACATGAAGCGCTCTAGAGTGGACTTCCACAACAGACCTGAACTGCTCTAGAGTGGACCTCCTGAAACATAAATTGCTAGAACTGTCTAGAATGTGGCTTAATTACACCATAAAAAGTGAAACAGAGAAGTTTATTTGAAGTGTTTACTGATGAAAAATATTGCTTTTGTTTTTTTTTACTTTGCTTTGTTTCAAAGTATTTAATTAACTTGCATAAAACTAGTTAAACTGCTTGTTAGCACTTCATTTTTTTTTACATTTTTTAAAGTGTGCTCTAGAGTGGAACTGAACTGTTCTAGAAGGGATCAGTGCAGTGCAGCTAAACTGATCTAAAGTTTTGGAGCGAACCTTAACCACTTTCGTAAAGGGCAGAAACAAACGGGAATGGGACTGAACCAATCTGGGACGGGACCAAATAGAGCTGAATCATTCTGGAATAAGTTGAACCACTCTGGAATAGAACCAAACCACTATCAACACTCTCAAAGTTCAAATGTTCTAGAACAGGGCTGAGCCACTCTGGAAAAGAGTTGAACTACTCTGGAATAGTGCTGACATTCTCTGGAATAGAACTGGATGACTCTGGAAAAGATTTGAACCACTCTG